AGGGCAGTGGTGAGATCATGGCTTACTACAGCCTCGGCCTCCCAGGCTCAAGTGAGCCTCCCACCTCAGCCTCCTGAGTAGCTGGGACTACAGGCATGTGCCACCATACCTGGCTAATTAAAAAAAAAAAAAGCTGGGCACAGTGGCTCACACCTGTAATCCTAGCACTTTGGGAGGTTGAGGCGGGCGGATCACGAGGTCAGGAGATTGAGACCATCTGGCTAACACAACGAAACCCCGTCTCTGCTAAAAATACAAAAAAATTAGCCAGGCGTGGTGGCGGGCGCCTGTAGTCCCAGCTACTCAGGAGGCTGAGGCAGGAGAATGGTATGAATCCGGGAGGTGGAGCTTGCAGTGAGCCGAGATGACGCCACTGCACTCCAGCCTGGGCAACAGGTCAAGACTCCGTCTCAAAAAAAAAAAAAGAAAAGAAAAAAAGATCCAGCCTGGCCAAGATGGTGAAACCCCATCTCTACTAAAAATATAAAAGAATTAGCCAGGCATGGTGGTGAACACCTGTGATTCCAGCTACTCGGGAGGCTGAGGCAGAAAACTGCTTGAACCCAGGAGGCAGAGGTTGCAGTTAGCTGAGATCGCGCCACTGCACTCTGGCCTGGGCAATAGAGAGACGCAACATCTCAAAAAAAAAAAAAAAAAAAAAAAAATTATGGAGACAAGGTCTCACTATGTCTCACTATGTTGTCTAGGGTGGTCTCAAACTCCTAGGCTCAAGTGATCCTCCTACCTTGGCCTCCCTAGGATTACATGTGTGAGCCACTGTGCCAGACTTTAAATTCTCTTTGTTTTTTTGAGATGGAGTCTCACTCTGTCACCCAGGTTGGAGTGCAGCAGCACGATCTCAGCTCGCTGCAACCTCCACCTAGCGGATTCAAGCGATTCTCCTGCCTCAGCCTCCTGAGTAGCTGGAATTACAGGCACACACCCCCATGCCCGGCTAATTTTTTGTATTTTTTAGTAGAGATTGGGTTTCACCCTGTTGACCAGGCTGGTCACAAACTCCTGAGCTCAGGTGATCCACCAGCCTCAGCCTCCCAGAGTGCTGGGATTACAGGTGTGAGCCACCGTGACTGGCCAAGACCTTAAATTCTCTACGTCATCCTTCATAAAAGTTTTTAACTAGTACTCCTCTGTAGGGACCACTTTTTAATTTTTTTTGAGACAGGGTCTTGCTCAGTCACCCAAGCTGGAGCGTCTATCACCTAGACTAAAGTGCAGTGGCACAATCACAGCTCACTGCAGCCTCCACCTCCAGGACTTACTTAATGGATCCTTCCACCTTAGCTTCCCAAGTAGCTGAGACTACAGGTGCATGCCATCATACCTGGGTAAATATATATATATATATATATTTGGCGAGGGATAGAGATGGGGTTTTGCCTTGTTGCCCTGGCTGGTCTCAAACTCCTGGGCTCAAGTGATCTGAGCACTTCAATTTCCCAAAGTGCTGGGATTATAGGCATGAGCCACTGTGCCCAACTTATTTTCTATTTTTACTTTTTTGAGACAGGGTCTCTCACTCTGTCATCCAGGCAGGGGTGCAGTGGCATGAACACAGCTCACTCCACCTCTGCCTCCCGGGCTCAAGATTCTCCTGCCTCAGCCTCCCAAGTAGCTGGGATTACAGGTGCATGCCACCACGCCCAACTAATTTTTTTTATTTTTTGTAGAGACGAGGTCTCACAACATCCTCACAACATTGGGTCTCTTTGTTGCCCAACCTGGTCACAAACTCCCAGGCTCAAGTGATCCGCCTACCTTGGCCTCCCGAAGTGCTGGGATTATAGGCTTGAGCCACCATGCTCGGCTGAGGACCACGTTTATAGTGCTCAGTGAAAGAGGTATATTTAGACATAAAGTCAGCTCAATAAACACAAATTTGGCAGGGTGCAGTGGCTCACACCTGTAATCCCAGCACTTTGGGAGGCTGAGGCAGGCGGATCAATGAGCTCAGGAGTTCGAGACAAGGCAGAGATATGGAGAAACCGTGTCTCTACTAAAAGTACAAAATTAGCTGGGCGTGGTGTCACATGCCTGTAATCCCAGCTACTTGGGAAGTTGAGGCAGGAAAATTGCTTGAACCTGGGAGGCGGAGGTTGCAGTGAGCCAAGATAGCGCCATTGCACTCCAACCTGGTCAACAAGAGCAAAATTCCATCTAAACAACAACAACAAAATAATGAAACTCTGTCTCAAACAAAAAACCGGACACAAATTCAAGTCATACAAATGCAAAGATACATTTTCTTTGCTTGGAATTTAACTTTCAATGTTTTTTCCAGGATCTGGGCTACAAAACGGACAATTATGGAAATGGGAAAAGTCTACCCCCTGGCTTGCCCTGCCTTGGAAAGAGCTCGGGTGTGTTCCCCTGTACCTTTGTGCACTCTGTGCAAGTAGAGATACTCCAGATAACCGACATAGTCCGCTTCTTCTGTGGCCAGGAAAACAGCTGGACAGCAGAGGGCGATAAAGAGCCACGGACTTTGCCTGTAATCAGCTTGTAATGGGCTCTGAGGCCAGATAATTTCTCAGAGAGAAAGCTAGAGATCTTGGGTAGTCTTCTTAGGCCTCAGGTGTTGTGTGATTCTATAGCAATTTCTCTTCTTTTATTCATTTATCTATATAGAGACAGGGTCTTGCTCTGTCACCCAGGCTGGCGTGCAGTGGTGTTATCTCAGCTCACTGCAGTCTCCACCTCCTGGGTTCAAGCAATCCTCCTGCCTCAGCCTCCTGAGTGGCTGAGACCACATTTGGGCACACTACCATGCCTGGCTAATTTTAAATTTTTTTGTAGAGACAGAGTGTTGCTATGTTGCCCAGGCTGGCGTTAAACTCCTGGCTTCAAGTGATCCACGACCTGCCTTGGCCTCCCAAAGTGCTGGAATTACAGACGTGAGTAAACATGCCCCTCTCAATCACTCTTCTTTTCTTCAGAAACCTGAGTGACACCTTAGAGGCAGCCAGGGAAAGAGAATGAACTCTCTGGAGTCAGAACTGGTTTTGATTTTCACTGCATCCTTTTGAACTGAGTGACTCTAGCTAAATAACTCAGTGAGTTTCAGTTTGTCTCTTTATGTGTGAGGAAAGATAATTCTGTTGTGCAGAATTTGTCTCAGGAGCCTCTCACAGGGCTTAAGGTTGAACAACAATTTGAGGCACTGTCCTTGGCACTGGAGAGTCCACAAGGGGCAAAAAGCAAACATGGCTTCTGCCCTCATAGAATTTACAGTTTAGTAGGGAGGACTGCTTTTAATCAACTGACCCCACAGACAGATTGCAAATTACACCTGTGCAAGTAAGTGCAACAAAGGAATGATCTCAGAGTCTGGGGAGGAGGAAGTGCCCAGGCAGGGAGATTTCCCTAAGGTAGTGAGGAGTGAGTTCAATCTGAAGGATGAGTAGGAGTTTACTAAGCAAAAAGAGAAAAGTCTTGCAAGAAAAGGGAATAGCTTATGCAATGCCCACATGTGTGGGAGCCTGCCGCAAGGCTGATGGGAATGCAGGGAAGAGAGAACAAGGTGGAGCTTAGCGGGGGATGTGGCTAGAGAGGCAGGAGTTGGATCACACAGGGGTCAGATCACAAGATCACACATTAGCCTAGGAACATTGGGAAACCATGAACAATTATAATCACAGGCTATGAACACACTTCCATTCTGAAAAGGTCCCTCTGGTTGCAGGGCTCAACCCTCCACCCTCTTCCCCTCAATGCACCCTCAGGTATTGAAGTCACTGAGTTCTGCGGTAATCCTTCCTCCTTTTCCCTTGTATTTCTCAATATCTCCCACTGGGACTATTTCAGTGGGCTCCCTGCCTCCAGTCTCACCTCCTCCACACAAAAAGCTTGACCTTATTTGATCCTCACAACAGCAAGTAAGCAAAGTTGCAATCCTTATCCCTATATAACAGATAAGAAGGCCGGGCATGGTGGCTTATGCCTGTAATCCCAGCATTTCGGGAGGCCGAGGCGGGTGGATCACCTAAGGTCAGGAGTTCAAAACCACCTTGGCCAACATGGTGAAACCCTGTCTCTGCTAAGAATACAAAAAATTACCTGGAGCGAGACAGGAGAATTGCTTGAACCCGGGAGGCAGAGGTTGCAGTGAGCCAAGATCGCGCCATTGCACTCCAGCCTGGGCAACAGAGCAAGACTCCATCTCAACAACAACAACAAAAACTTAATGTGTTGTCTGTACCCGTTACATTATGAATAGCACAAAAATTGAGTAAATATTCTTCCAGTATTTGAAACCGTTTTCTGACTCAGCAAAGAAGTTGCTCCCATCATTGACAATCCGGTTACGTTTTGTCTTTTTCACTTGTATCAACCAACATTCACGTTTACAATTACACTCCTTGGTCAACTGCAATCACAGTTTGTCTACCTATATCAGAGTTTGGCAAAAATCAATGAAAGCATTCTGTGAGAAAGTTATATGGAATTTGCCAATTTGCTATTATTTGAAAATTGTGAACTACACCTCCTTTATGTCAGTAAAACTTAACGACAAATTTATGTACCTATATATGTGCATACATTCCCTTTCTCCCCCCAGACGGCTGGTTGTTACACATTTATCAGTACAGCACTGGGTCCAGAACACGATTCATGTAGTGATTCCCCAAACATTCACTGGGTGCCAGGAGGGAGATACAGATTAATGATGAAATGACTCAGCCAAGGTCACACATCGCAAAGCAGCATAGGTGGGAGAACCATATGTGCTTCCAAGGCCAGCGGCTCTCTCCCAGGACCAGACCATGGTTTCCAAGGCCTCCCCATTCTACCGAATGGGATGGCCTGGGCCTGGGCGCCCAGGAAATGAAAACCAAGCGCTGGGAAAGGAGACCAACGCCAGCCAACAGAGAGTTCATGGCCAATAGCGGCCGGGGGCGCGCGCGACGTCACTCGTCGTGAGGCCAGCGCGAGCACGCCCTGGGGAAAGTGGCGTGGCTAAGCCCTTCCGGAAGTGACGTCGCCTTGGGGGGCGGTGCTCGGCGGTGGCAGAGCGCGGCCTGGGCTCGCGCTGGGCTCCGCGCGTCCCCCGCCCCCCTCTATGAGGCAGAGGCCGCGGCGGCCGTTAGCGCTGTCGCTCCGGGGGCCGCGGCGGGCGGGGCTCCGGCCGGGCCCGGCCTAGTCCCCACCCCAGCCCGGCTTCCAGCCGCCCGCCCTCCTCCCTCCCTCTCCCCGATGCAGGGGGCCGAGCTCCGGGATGGCGAGGCGGCGGCGGCGGCCGCTTCGTACCGCGTCCTGAGCCGCCTCCTTGGCTATGGAGAGGCGGCCCCCGAGCCAGGCCCGCCGCCGCCGCCCCCGGGCCATGGCCCGCCGCCGCCACCCTTCCTCGCGCGGCCCGGCCCGCGGGGCTCCCGGCCGCCGCAGCTGATGGTGTTCCGCAACGTGGGTCGGCCGCCGGAGGAGGAGGACGTGGAGGCGGCCCCGGAGCCGGGACCCTCGGAACTGCTGTGTCCCCGGCACCGCTGTGCCCTGGACCCCAAGGCCCTGCCGCCGGGCTTGGCGCTCGAGCGGACCTGGGGCCCGGCGGCTGGACTAGAGGCGCAGTTGGCGGCTCTGGGGCTCGGGCAGCCGGCAGGGCCGGGGATCAAGACAGTCGGTGGGGGTTGCTGCCCGTGCCCGTGTCCCCCTCAGCCGCCCCCTCCGCAGCCCCAGCCGCCTGCTGTCGCCCCGCAGGCCGGGGAAGACCCCACGGAAACGAGCGACGCGCTGCTAGTCCTGGAGGGCTTGGAATCGGAGGCCGAGAGCCTGGAGACTAACAGCTGCTCGGAAGAGGAGCTCAGCAGCCCGGGTCGCGGAGGAGGAGGGGGCGGCCGGCTTCTGCTGCAGCCCCCAGGCCCTGAATTACCTCCGGTGCCCTTCCCGCTGCAGGACTTGGTCCCTCTGGGGCGCCTGAGTAGAGGGGAGCAGCAGCAGCAGCAGCAGCAGCAACCTCCCCCGCCCCCGCCTCCTCCCGGGCCCCTCCGGCCACTCGCGGGTCCTTCTCGGAAGGGCTCCTTCAAAATCCGCCTCAGTCGCCTCTTTCGCACCAAGAGCTGCAACGGTGGCTCCAGCGGTGGGGATGGGACCGGCAAGAGGCCTTCTGGAGAGCTGGCTGCTTCAGCTGCGAGCCTGACAGACATGGGAGGTTCTGCGGGCCGGGAGCTGGACGCGGGGAGGTGAGACCGGCGGGGGGCTGGCGGACAAACTTCCTTTTCTTGTTAGGTTTCCCTTTTTATCTATTGCTACCGCGATCCTGACAGTTCTTAAGATAGGGTCTTCAGGAGGAGGCAGAGACTTGGTACCAAAGGTGATAACACTCGCATAAGGTCAGAGCTAATTGTGGAAACAGCTTTCACTCTTTAAAGAGTGCACACTCCATGACACTTCTCAGCTGGTTTGCATCTCTTGTTGGAAGATGGTTTCAGACCATCCCCCCATCCCCACCCTGGCATAGCTTTTTAAGTTTTTCCAAGGCGGCTGTGTGCCATTATCCCTGGAAGGGAGATTGCTGGAAATGTTTGGCCTTTGGGGCAAAAAGCTGGTGTTGCATCTTGACCGCCTTGCTTATTCTGTGTAGCAGCACCGCACCCCCCTTCACACTCATGCATGCAAATGACGGGAGAATCTTCAAATGCAGTTGTAGGCCAGCAATCAGTTGGACATCTGTTCAAAGTTTTAATGTTTTCCTGGTTGTTCCCTTAGATGAACTTGGCATATCAAATTTGGGTGCTGACCACTGTCTGTGAGAATAGAAAATAGACCAGGCACAGTGGCTCACATCTGTAATCCCAGCACTTTGGAGGCCGAGGATGGCGGATAACCTGAGCTCAGGAGTTTGAGACCAGCTTGGGCAACATGTGAAACCCCATCTCTACAAAAAAAAAAAAAAAGAAAAAAAATCCCTCATTTCTACAAAAAATGAATAAAAAATTAGGCGGGAGTGGTCTCAGCTACTTGGGAGGCTGAGGGAGGAGGATCACTTGAGCCCAGGAGGCGGAGGTTGCAGTGAATAGTGATCATGCCACTGTACTCCAGTTTGCGTGACAGAGTGAGAACCTGTCTCGAGAAAATAGTTTTGTGCTCTCTCAAGGCCATTTGAGAATTCTAAGTACCTGTAAGATATAGACAAGGTAGAGACAGGTACATGAGTTCTAGGCCAGTTGATGAAAATTCCAAACGTAGACATTGAGTTTTTTTCCTGCATTTCTGAGGGGTGGACTGATCTTTGGCATCCAGTGTTAGATCTGTAGCGTTGGTTTACAAAGCTGTCAACTTTGGTGTCAGTGAAATGAGTTACCTTGTGGTAACTGCCATTGTGGTTTGTACTTCTTTGAGCGGGTTCTCAGAAAGATTGGAATTGGTTTTGTTGTGGTTTACGTGATGGATTCTTGAGACATACTGACAGCCATAAACCAAAGCTAAAGAACAGGTATAAATTGATAACCTTACCGTGAACTAGGATCACTTGGGGAGCTTTTTGAAAAGCCTAAGAGTTTGAATTTTTTAAAAGCTCCCCAGTTGATCCTGACTGGGAACCACTCATTCATGGACTTCTCTTTTCAAGGGAACTTGGGTACTCCAAGAAGAAAATGTTGGGTGGATTTGGCTTTCTTGCCCTTTCTGAACAGCTGTGCCATGGACTCGTCTTGGAGATCAGGCCAAATCCAAACTTTCTGAAGAAATCAGTGTGTTGCCCCTTTAGGTAGGCCAGTGTTTCTGCCTTTGCCTCCTAGTGAATTCATGCTGGGAGTTCAGATCTTGGTGTGTGGCTGCTGAAACAGCTTTTTTGTGGTAGGCTCTCTATTCAATGCTCCACTTACCAGCGCAGATGAAATTTTCATCAGATGCAGGGGAGGGCGGGATTAAAGCTATGGGTAATGACACAGGGTAGGTTGCTAATTTTCTTGTGGTTTGTCTTGCCTTTGTTCCACGTTGACCAGGAGTTCATCTGAGATTCCAGAGATGCCAAATACGAGGTGTGGCGTGAAATTAGCTGCTACGTCTAACAGATTAGGAAGAGGAAAAGGCATATAACATTATACGGTTTTTTGCCTTTGGAAGCAGAATTTAATGGTCATTGGCTGCTCTGCCACCAACCCTCACACTAAGCACAATACAGATTTCTGCTGCAGAGCAAATTGGGCTGTAGCTTTGCAAAGAAGCTTAGTTCAGGGCACTGGAGAATTACATTTTTTGGTCCAAGGGCTTTTTCTGATGAATTGGAGAAGAGCTAGGTATTTGTGTATAAACGTTTAGTTGACTGCTGTTTGGAGGCAGCATGCTGTATAGAGAATGTGAAAGTCTAGATTCCATGTAAACTCCAACATCAGCTGGGAGATGACCAAATTTGTTGTCTTCATGCTTCCCTTTTTCCCCTATCTGTAAAATGGGTGAGTGTTGACTGTCTTGTTCCTGTCCTTATAAGAATAGATTGTTGAGAAGAAATCTAGATGGAATAGTTTGTGCTTTTTAGAAGATAAGTAATAAGACTGAGCTGGTAAATTTTTTAATGCTTAGGATTTGGTGCTGCTTGTGAGCTTTTCCACAGCTTACTATGTGCCAGTCTTGCTGGCAGCCTCGCAGCTGTGAGAAACTTGGTGAGTCTGGCCAGGGTAGTTGTGATTTCTGTGGATCTGCACCTCCTAAGTCCGCAATAGTGGGAGGATGAGGTTGGATTTTTAGCTTTTCTCTTGTTTTGATTGGTAGGACCTGGAAGTGGTGAGAAATTTCAGTCTTTTGCCAAAGGGTATATGCCTTTGTCCTCATTGTTGATTGGAGTTAATTATGGGCTTCTACAGTCTTTGCTGTACAATTTGGGACTTTTACAGTAACCTCTGGGCATAATTCCCTTTGCTATTCTCAACATCTGCCTTCCTACAATCATTTTAGAAGGTTTAACAATTCCCACATTTTAGCATTAAGCAAAACTTCCTTTTAGTTGCTTTTGAGTCTAGTAAGTGGACCTACATGGATATATTGTCTTCAGTGTAGTATGAGTTAGTTTAGAGATTTGTTTTTGTTTTGTTTTTTTGTTTTGAGGTGGAGTCTTGCTCTGTGGCCTAGGCTGGAGTGCAGTGGTGCAATTTTGGCTTACTGCAACCTCCGCCTCCCGGGTTCAAGCGGTTCTCCTGCGTCAGCCTCTCCAGTGGTTGGGATTATAGGGGCACACCATCATGCCCGGCTAATTTTTTAATTTTTAATTTTTAGTAGAGCTGGAGTTTTGCCATGTTGGCCAGACTGGTCCCGAACTCCTGACCTCAGGTGATCTGCCTGCCTTGGCCTCCCAAAGTGCTGGGATTACAGGCATGAGCCACCACCCCCGGGCCAACTTAGATAACTCTTTTTAAGTGAGGTAAGAAATGGGTTCACCAATTGGGTGTGGTAGTGTGCACCTGTAGTCCCAATACTTGGAAGGCAGAGGCAGGAGGATTACTTGAGCCCAGGAGTTTAAGGGCACAGTGAGCTATGATGTGCCACTGCACTCCAGCCTGGGCAACAGAGCCAGACTCCATCTCTCTTTTTTTTTTTTTGGGAGACGTAGTCTCGCTCTGTTGTCCGTGCTGGAGCGCAGTGGCCCAATCTTGGCTCACTACAACCTCCGCCTCTCAGGTTCAAGCAATTCTTCTGCCTCATCCTCCCGAGTAGCTGGGACTACAGATGCATGCCACCACGCCTGGCTAATTTTTTGTATTTTAGTAGAGACTGCATTTCACCGTGTTGCCCAGGCTGGTCTTGAACTCCTGAGCTCAGGCAGTCTGCCCACCTCAGCCTCCCAAAGTGCTGGGATTACAGGCTAGAGCCACCGCGCCCGGCTGACTCCATCTCTTTAAAAAAAGAAAGAAAGAAAGAAATGGGCCCAGCAACTAATCAGGTTTCTGTTCTGGGGAACTGGGCTAGGGCTTATAACACACATATGTTGGAATTCAAAGAGCTGGGCTTGATGCCTGTGGTCCTCAGTGTAATCTAGCATTGCTATTTCAGGAAAACCAGTGGAGTTCCCATGTCTGTTTCTCATATGTTGAACTGATTGCCTTCCTTTGGATTTGGTGAGAGATCTAATTTGATCTGACCATTTTGAATCATCATGTAATACACACTTGGTTGGAAATAGGTACCTTGTTCACTTTTCAAGATTTGTTTTTTACCAAGTTAACAATTGAGGCTATTACTGGCCGTCTTCATGGTAGTGAGGTGGAGAAATGGAGGACGGTTCTGTAGTGGTTTCCTATCTATGTATTTGGTGGGGGGTGGAAAGATAGAATTCTGGAAAGAGAGGCAGGCTGCTTTGGCATCCATTTGGGGCCCTGCTGTCGTGGACAGACCTGGCAGACGTGAGAAACCTTTTTCACTGTATCCTTGGGTCTTCAGGTCTAAAGGGGTCTTTTTGAGTAATAGCATGACATGCTGAGAGCAAAATGATTTTATGGTGTGTTGAGGAAGTTCTGATTTTATGTTTGGGTTTTGGGTCCACACAATGTTGATCTTTTTAACTATTTTTTCCATGAAGTGGTTGCGGTTGGCAGCTCTCTTTTAGAATGAACTCCTGGGCTTAAAAAAAATCTCTGTCCATTTGAGTCCCGTGCCGTGCTTCTCACTCCTTAACATTCTCTCTGCCAACATCATTTCTGAGGTTTTAGACCTTGGACCGTGCCTCTTGGCTTTTCCCTGGAAGTTCCCTCTATAGGTTCTTTAGTGGGTTTATGATGGAGTTTTGGATCTGACCTTGCTGCACAGATGTCTGTGTATTGGAACTAAAAATGAACACATGGTTTTTGTGCCTGTAGCACATGAACAGACACTGGCTTATGACGTGTTGGAAATGGCACAGGCTGGCTGTCTTGGCACTGTGTGCTTTAGCAGGGGCAGAGGTACATTGGAGCCATAAAATCTGGTATTTGGACATCCTAATTTGGAAGTTACTTTAGAAAAGGACATGTGTAAGTCTTAGGGCATCAGTACAGGGCACTTATGGGCAAATAGGTTATTATTATTTCACTGTTTTTATTTTAGGTTTCAAGGAATTTGAAAACCGGCCAATGGTTATGTCTATGTGTTGTTGTTCTGTCTAATCTAATGCTTTTAACTTCTTTATCCCATAAATCTGTTGTAGTACAGTTAATAATTTGCAGGGTAGAAATGGACAGAGGCATCCTGTTTTTTTTGTTACCTACAGCATAGGCAGTAACTTAGCTGACACAAAGGACTGCTAGTCTCAAAGACCTTTGCCTAGGGCCGTCTGCCCTTTCCTTTTATGTCACCTGAAGCACAGCCCACCAAATGCTGTTTTATCCCACCCTACTCCTCCAGTCTTTGTTGCTGCTAAGATGAAAGTGGCCTACTGGCAAAGTTACAGGGGTATAACTTTGCACCCTAATGCTTGTTGAGGTGATCTGGGGAAGAATAAATAGCATGGGAATGTAGTATAGAGGGTTAGTTTAAAATATTATCTGAAATTCCATTATATTGCTCTCCAAAATATAGTGTGTCAGCTTAGAATGGCCTTTTATCATTCCAAATGGTTCATGTATACAAAAGGGGATGTATAAAGTGTATGTCTTTTAATAATAATAAAATACAAGCATAGGTACCTTCACTAAACTTAACAAATAGAATGTTATCAGTACCTTTGAAGAGTGTTGCTTTCTAATTACATCTTATCCCTCCCCCTGGTAACCACCATCCTCAATTTTATGTTAATCAGTACCTTGCTTTGTTGGTTTTTTTTTTTTATAGTCATCTAGATTGGTTGTTTCATGAATGACTGCCATTAGAATGCTCTCAGGACGCTTGAGACAGATACTGCTTTGGGTTTGTAGTTAGGCTTGTCTTCCCAAAGAGAGAAAGGAGCATGCCTATTTATTAGTAGCCTTTTAGCCTCCTAGACGTTAGACCTTTTACCTTTCCAAGCATCCAGCTATGAAGCCCCCTTATTTGCCAGGAAAAACCATTCTGGCACTCTCGAACAGCTCTCCCTGGATTCAGATGTTTTTCTTTTTCTAGATCCTAGAAACTATGATTTTTCTTCTTCAAAATGCCGGGGGCGGGGGAGAAGATGAGCTGAAGTGAGAAGGCCTCCGCAAGATGTGTGCATTTGGGTCCTGCCGTTCTTCAGTGCTTGGCACTGAAGAGACTCGTCCCCAGCATGGGCAGATGGCAGAGTAATGCAGCTTCCTTTGAAAAGAGGCAAACGGCCAAATGGCTGAGGTGTGAACCTTTTGAAAGGCCAGTGCTTTAGGTTTCTACTTGCTGGGTTTAATGTTGTACCCACAAGTTATCAAATAAAAATCAGCTTGGAAGCTCTTCAGCAGTCCTAAAGTTCATGTCCAGTGGAATTAACATTGCATTCCAGTCCTCTGGATTGTTGGAACTAAGCTGCAGTCATGAGCCACTTTTATGAGCAAAGCAACTGTGTGGCCGTATCTTATTTTTATGTAGCCACCTCTCCTGTGGGTGCTGTGGGTGGAATATTCATAGTGAGCGTGATCATCAGACCCCTCAAGTATGGAAGAGGTTGCCAAGGGAATGTAAAGCTAGGTCAAGAGAAAGACGGACCAGGGTTTCAGCTCTTTCTGAATAAGATCTTCATGGTATGGTTTTAGAATTTTGTTTGAAGTGAATTCTGAGAAGCTCAGACATCGATGTTAAAACATAAATGCATAAACATCTTCTGAACTCAAATAATTTAAAATAGAATTTCATTTTGGATTTTCTTTGCTTTTGCCCCTCTTTATTGGTGCAATTTATAGTTGAAAAGAGTTTAAGTTCTATTTAGACCTTTGGGTAAGAGTATTTTTGGAAGGTGAGCCAGCTACAATGCTAGGAGACAGGCACTTAATTCTGGGGTAGGATTTTCTTTAAGTCTGTTTTATTGTTAACAATAAAAAATAAATAAATAAATACTATTTATTTATTTATTTATTTATTTATTTTTTAGACAGGGTCTCACTCTGTCACCCAGGCTGGAATGCAGCAGCTCAATCATGACTCACTGCAGCCTTGACTTTCCCAGGTTCAGGTGATCCTCCCACCTCACACTCCTGAGTAACTGGGACTAGAGGTGTCTACCACCACGCCCAGCTAATTTTTGTATTTTTTGTAGAGACAAAGTTTCACCATGTTGCCCAGGCTGGTCACGAATTCCTGGGCTCAAGCATTCTGCCCACCTCAGCCTCCCAAAGTGTTGGGATTACAGGTGTGAGCCATCGCACCGGACCTGAGGTATAATTTATATATTGCAAAATTTACCCTTTTAAGTGTCCAGCTCTATTCATTTTGACAAATTTATATATAGTCATCATAATCTCTACCATAATCAGCATATAGCATATTTCCTTTTTTTTTTTTTTTTTTTTTTTTGAGATGGAGTCTCACTCTGTCACCCAGGCTGAAGTGCAGTGGCGTGATCTTGGTTCACTGCAACCTTCACCTCCCGGGCTCAAGCAGTTCTCCTACCTCAGCCTCCTGAGTAGCTGGGATTACAGGTGCACGCCACCACACCCAGCTAATTTTTGTATTTTTAGTAGAGACGGGGTTTCACCATGTTGGCCAGGCTGGTCTCAAACTCCTGACCTTGTGATTTGCCCACCTCGACCTCCCAAAGTGCTGAGATTACAGGTGTGAGCCACCGTGCCCAGCCAGCATATAGCATATTTCTTTTTTTTTATTTTTATTTTTATTTTTATTTTTTGAGACAGAGTCTCACTCTGTCGCCCAGGCTGGAGTGCAGAGGGGCGATCTCAGCTCACTGCAAGCTCCACCTCCCGGGTTCATGCCATTCTCCTGCCTCAGCCTCCCGAGTAGCTGAGATTACAGGCGCCCACCACCACGCCTGGCTAAGTTTTTGTATTTTTAGTAGAGATGGGGTTTCACCGTGTTAGTCAGGATGGTCTTGATCTCCTGACCTTGTGAGACACTGCTCGGCCAGCATATATTATATTTCTATCACCTCGACAAGTTCAGTCATTCTGAGGTGAGTTTTTTGAGTTTAACACACTTCCGACCATAATGTGTTCATTGGAGTCTTTTGAGTTTCTTTCATTTATTGCTGAAAAGCCACTTGAAAGTGTGGTAAGAAGTGATCTTTGGTATATTAACCAAAAGATCTGGGTTTTCAGACTGGTTCCCTGGAACAGCATCAAGAAGTCATGGGGAGGGCCGTGTGAGTGGCAGCTCAGAGAGAGGAATGGGCCCTCTTCTTGGGTGCTAGGCAGAGCCCCTAATCTGAGGAGGCCCACTTAGTAGCTAGCTGATGGCTTTGACTCATGCCTTGGGGCAATTGTGCGGAAATCAGATGTCTTCAAGGTTGAAGACCGCATGTGCATCCTACAGTGCTATTCTCAGGTCAGAATCTGTTCCCTGGTTCACTTTGGAACGACCTATCCTACAGGCAAGCCCAGAGGGAAAATCTGCTCTGAGCTGGTGCCTGTTCAGGTCAAGAGCCTTTTTCTTGGCTCCCAGATGGAAGTCAGCTCTGCATCAGACTTCCTTCCTCTTGAAATGGACTTGCTAATTACCACTCAAGGTGTTTTACTCTTTTAATGTACTGGGTATGGTGAGCTCCAAAGGGATTTCTCATTGCTTTGTAGGCTGGTGAATTCTGTAGCCAAATCTATTTAAGGAATTGCCTTAATTATTTCCTTCTTCCCCTTTATTTTATGCTTTATTACAAGAGTGTTGCTGACAACGACTAGGGTTTGCTTTATTTTTCAGTGCATCTGGAACTGAGTGTTGTGGTGACTTAAATGCGTATGTGTTCATTTCTCCCCTCTATTCCCTCTCTGCTTTCTCACTCCCTAGGAAACCCAGGTTGACAAGAACTCAAAGTGCCTTTTCTCCAGTCTCCTTCAGCCCCCTGTTCACAGGTAAGGGTAATATCTTTCTGTCTTCTGACATCTGAAAACAGGGGTGTTCTGAGACCTGTTGGGAAACACTTGCAGATGCGTCACAGGGAGCTGTAGGCGTGTCTGCAGTTATTTCCTTCATTCCATGCTTAGTGGGTTTGAGATGAGGCTATTTTTATGGTATGGAATGTGTTCTTGACTTTGGATGCTTTATAGTTGGAGGTAAAGGCTGCTTGTTGGTAATTGGGTGACCTGGGTGGCCCTAGCAGTTACACAGTGCTTAGCTCAGGGTCATCACATATAAATTAAAACTAGGAATTACAAATTTATGGGCTCACAGTGCATAAAAGACTCTCTAGAAGTCATACAGTTTCTGTCTCTGCTTCCAAGGGAGTTCATGGGTTATCTCATAAAAATGATCCATGATTATCTGGTCTATTTTTGAAGACTTTTTTGGGCAGAGGGGATTACATGAGCTCTTGTCTTTTTAGGGGCTTGTAGTTCCTGCAGCTGTTAGACTTCTTTATTGTATCTAATTTAAGTCTGCCCTCTTGCAGCAGGGAACACAGTTGCTAAACTAGGAAGACTGTAGAATCTCCTTTGGATGATGGGTAACTGCCTTCTCGTTTCGTAGGGAGCTTTTTCAGAGATGGAGACCTTCTATTATGTCAGTCACATGTGAAGCTCCTGCATGAATAAGCTGTAGAAAAGTGGGGCTTTGCCACACTGCCTGTGTCTCAGAAACTGAGTACTTCTCATTGGTTGTGACTGAGAAGCCTTTAAAAAAAATCTGAATCTCAAACTCCTTTGGATATAATGTCCCTCAAAAAGGTGATTGAAAGACATATGATTTGGGAATGGATGCTTCCAGGAAAATGTTAAGCAGGCCAATGAGACCTGCAGCTGGGTAGACTGCTGTGAACTATCAAAACAAGTGAATTGGTACCTGTATAGACATCTACTGTAGTGGAGAAGGAGGTCTCTGTTCTTATCCAAGCCCAGAATTTAAAAATCTTATGTTGTGATAGCATGTCTTTCTAGTTAATAGTTGTTTCCTCCTTAAAGTAAGGAACATGACTGGTTGTGGTCACAGTGGCTTAGGCTTGTAATCCCAGCACTTTGGGAGGTTGAAGTGAGTGGATCACCTGAGGTCAGGAGTTTCAGACTAGCCTGGCCAACATGGTGTGAAACCCCATCTCTACTAAAAATACAAAAAATTAGCTGAGCGTGGTGCCACATACCTTGTGGTCCAACTACTCGGGAGGCTGAGGCAGGAGAATCGCTTGCACCCGAGAGGCTGAGGTTGTAGTGAACAGAGATTTTGCCACTGCACTCCAGCCTGAGTGATAGAGTGAGACTCCGTCTGAAAAAAAAAGGAACGCTACCTACATTTGTGGTTTGAGGTTCAGGTCAGCCTCAGCTCTCTGGAATGACATCCTTTATGTTAAGTGCCCTACCAACAGTCTAGACTGCTCTGGCCTGTCAGGAAACACGCTTGCCTGGCCCCATTGCATTGCTCTGGGCAGCCAGCCTCTCAATTACCAAGCTGTGTGGTGAGTCTGGTACCAATTTTCTAGAACTTCCACTGATGACTTTTGTTTGTTTATTTTTGACACAGGGCCTCATTTTGTCTCCCAGGCTGGAGTGCAGTGGTGCAGTCTCAGCTTACTGCAGCCTCAACTTCCTAGACCCAAATGATCCTCCCACCTCAGCCTCCAGAATAGCTGGAACTACAGGCATGCACCACCATACCTGACTAATTTTTTTATTTTTGTGGAGACAGGGTCTTACTATGTTGCCCAGACTGGTCTTGAACTCCTGAGTGCAAGTGATTTGCCTTGCAGATCAGAACACCTTGACCTCCCAAAGTGTTGGAATTACAGGCATGAGCCACTGCACCGGGTCTCACTGATGACTTTTGGAAGAGCTTTTCTGTTTATCTTAATTAATATTCAAGACCTTTGTAAAAAAAACTGTGTATTTAGGTTCTGAAAATCCAGTTTCTGTCCTTTTGGTAAATATTGGTCACCTCATTTTCTTAATGGGGAAACATTAAAATACTAGCTGAGGGACTCATTCAGCCCTGAATAAAAAAAAGGTGTTGGAAGGAACACCCTAAGGGCTAAATTAGAGAAATTCTGAGTTCTGACCTGTGGATCAGGCCTGCCAAAATAACCCTATTCCTGGCTATCAGCTTGTGTTAATATTAATAAAATACCCTTCATCCTCTCATGACTCAAGTGGAGAGGGAATAGACAGAGTTGGGTGGCAAGGAGTCTTATATATGGCAGGGAACAGAACTGCATGACATGCTGGGAAGAAGAGAGGCCATGTGCCTCCTCCCACCAACTTCCTATGGAGAAGCTGCCTCTTAGATTACTTGACTTTTGTCTGACTGTGAAAGTAGTTAATTTTTAGGAATATAAATTGTACTTTCGGCCTTTGTAGCCTCAGCTATTAAGAACAGATATCTTATTCAGGTAGATTCTCTTATGCGTGAATACTCTGGAAAATTAAGATATGGACTGCCCTCTAGGAAGAAGTTAGGACTAACATTGGGAACTTTATCTGTATTCCGCTTACCGTGCAGTTCTTAGGTTTTCTGGCCCTTGCTTTCCATGTCTATTTGGGCATATAACAAGCCACTTGGCTTGCTTCCTAAGGCAGAAATTGATACACAGTTCTGAAAAAATAAATGGTGTGGGTTCCATTGGATAAAGAAGACCTCTTGTTTGAGGGTACGTTGTAAGTCAGTGACGGAACCAGAATTAGATGGTTTTCCACTGTCAGTCCCATGGTTTTGTCCTAAAGAATCCTTGACCCTTAACAGGGCCAACGTTTAATGATAGAATTTAAAAATTGACTTCCTGGTGTTGGGGTGATTTCAGCCCTCGGGGCATTAGGTTTTGAGCTTTCTGAGAGCAGCAGATTCCCAGCCTCGCCTGCTTGCCCTTTGCTTCCCTTTGCTTTCTGTGTCAGCTTTGGGCAAGGCGCTTCTGTAACTTGCTTGCTCCATGAATCCCTCAGGTGAAACTGTGTCGCTTGTGGATGTGGACATTTCTCAGCGGGGCCTGACCTCTCCACACCCTCCAACTCCCCCTCCTCCTCCAAGAAGAAGCCTCAGCCTCCTAGGTATAGTTTCTTCCCCTCTCCTCCTTCTTGCCTAGTGGGAGGGTGAGCTCCAGGGACTTGTTCTTTGCTGGGGGCCGACCACGCTTCTGTGTTTCCGATGATGACTTAATTATTTCCTAGCTCTTTCTCAGTACTCCGTCATCTCCCTAAGCAATTAAATGGGTCTCACCTGCATGCTGTAATACTGTGCATATATTAATTCGATTTACATTTATCTTGCCTTGAACCCACTGCTATTGGGCTGCATTAGGAATATCCTTACTACCCTGCTTTCCAAAAGCAAACCAGAGTAAGGTGATTGTTGCCCTCTGTCCAAAAAGACTGGGTGAAGGTTGGGCCATCCTGCCCCAGAGGGCAGCCTGATAGTCCTTCTCCCTCTCCTCTGCCTTCACCGTGCTCATTCTGTGCTCACATTTCTGAACCTCTTGCTTTTGTTCTCTCTTCTAGATGATATCAGTGGGACGCTGCCTACATCTGTCCTTGTGGCTCCGATGGGGTCTTCCTTGCAGTCTTTCCCCCTACCTCCGCCTCCTCCACCCCATGCCCCAGGTTAGCTTAGTTTAGAGGCAAGACTTGTAAGAGTTGGGAGTACAGAGTGATACTTTGTACCATAGAAGGATGGGAGAAATCTATTTATGGAAATAATAGCTTAGTAGAAAGTTTAACTCTTTTCCCCTTGGCTGTACCAGACTCCTTGGAAATGAGGCCGAGAACTGGTTTTCCTAACCCGTTTTCTTTATGGAGGTCAATCTGATTTTTGTTAGGGATAAAAGACTACTGAATTTTTCATCTCTTTGCTGCTGAGACTGTTTTACAATCCTTGAGTAGATATCACTTAAGAAACTGACTTAATTTCAGGATAGTGAGGTTTAACATGTTGCTGGTTTTCAAGGTTCTGTGGTTATTCTAAGCTTTTAGTATTTACTGCAGCCTTGTAAATAAGTACCAAGCATTCAGTAGCCCACACCTGCTTTGCCAGCTACCAGTACCCAAGGAATAAAATGAATGAAATCAGCATTCTTTTCTACTTGCCTGGCAAAATCATTACTCTTCCTGGGCAAGTAAGCGAGTCACTATTTCCAAGGCTGCCTTATCGGCACTTCACTTCGAGGTGGGAGAAGTTGGAATCGCTGTAGGCTGGTGAAGCCCCTGAAGTAGTCACCTTAGTCAGGTTAGTGAGCAGCTCCCCTCCCCTTTCCTGGGGTTAACTGCCCCCACCCATCCTTCACAGCTTACACAAGGCCACACAGCTTTTTGTTCCAGCCCATCCAGCTCTTTCCCACTGCTTTGGCTTCTACCCTTTCCAGCTTAGCTTCTAATGCCTTGCCCTCTTCAGTTAGCATTTCTGTTTTTGGGGGAGGGTCTATTTGTGGTTGGGAGGAGTGAGGGTAAACAAGTGACCACCACTCTCTTGCCCTGCAGATGCATTTCCCCGGATTGCTCCCATCCGAGCAGCTGAATCCCTGCACAGCCAACCCCCACAGCACCTCCAGTGTCCTCTCTATCGGCCTGACTCGAGCAGCTTTGCAGCCAGCCTTCGAGAGTTGGAGAAGGTAGGTGGTACCTAAGGACTGGCGGGTCACTTCTCCCATTAGCTAAATTCTGTACCTGGGCACACCTTTATTTATTTGTTTATTTATTTTTAGAGACAGGGTCTTGCTCTGTTGCCCAGGCTAGGGGGTGGTGGCGTAATCATAGCTCACTGTAGCCTCGAACTCCTGGGCCAAAGGATCCTTCTGCCTCAGCCTCCCAAGTAGCTAGGACTACAGGCACGCATGACCAAGCCCAGCTAAAACTTATTTATATTTTTTGTAGAGACTGGTCTTGCTTTTTCCCAGGCTGGTCTTGAACTCCTGGGCTCAACGTGATCCTCTTGCCTCTGCCTCCCAAAACTCTAGGATTATAGGCATGAGCCACATACCCAGCCCCTATTTATTGTTTTTAGAGGAAGAATAGTTTACTTTCTTCCATCTTTACAGTGACAAAAGCAGTGTGCTACTGCTGTTAATTCCATGAGATATAATAAAATTGAATTTGGGGAAAAAATTTGGACATGATAAAGGTTGTTGGAGAAATGTTTACAGTCTAAGCTGATTTTGATTGATTAACGGACCCAATTCCCTCTTCTTTTCTTGGTAGGGTCTTTGGTAACATAATTGTAGAATTATTATTCTTTGTTGTTGTTTTTTTTTTTGTTGTTGTTGTTGTCTTGTTTTTGGGACTGAGTTTCACTCTTGTCGCCCAGGCTGGAGTGCAATGGTGCGATCTTGGCTTACTGCAACCTCTGCCTCCTGGGTTCAAGCAATTCTCCTGCCTCAGCCTCCTGAGTAGCTGGGATTACAGACGCCCACCACCATGCCCAGCTAATTACTGTATTTTTAGTAGAGATGGGGTTTCACCATGTTGGCCAGGCTGGTCTCGAACTCCTGACCTCAAGTGATCCGTCCACCTCAGCCTTCCAAAGTGTTGGAATTACAGGCATGAGCCACAGCTCACGGCCAGAATTATTATTCTGTTACTTTGGAGGGCTAAAAGTATAGTGAGCGTGATGTTCATTGTTAATGGTTGAGACACTTGTAAGTGGCTTTTACCTATTAAAATGTTTTGGAGAGAATGCAGAGGGTTCTCCCATGTTAAGATAGATTGTGCTGAAAACTTTGACATTTCTCTGTCCTGATAACTAGCGGACTGCTTCTTGTCTTTGATAGTGTGGTTGGTATTGGGGGCCAATGAATTGGGAAGATGCAGAGATGAAGCTGAAAGGGAAACCAGATGGTTCTTTCCTGGTACGAGACAGTTCTGATCCTCGTTACATCCTGAGCCTCAGTTTCCGATCGCAGGGTATCACCCACCACACTAGAATGGAGCACTACAGAGGTAAGAGATGCTGATAAGAGAGCCTTCTTCCCCCACTTGCTTTGCTCTGCCCTTGCTGTCTGACTTTTTTGTGGAAGAGATTCATGGGAATGGAACTACGAATAGGGGAAAAATTATCTTAGACTCAGTTGAATATTGATATGGGCACTTGTTTCAGTCACTAGAAGAAATGGAGGGGGTAGGGAAGGGAGAGTAAGGGTTCCATTTAAAAGTCTTGTCAGCAGCATCTTATCTCCTAAATAGGAGGGCCTGAACAAAACTGTTGGAGAGGCTGCCAAGAACTGAGCCAGTAAAACTCTTTAGGTAAAAGGAAAAAAGAACCTAGGACCATTAGGCAAATTCTCACAAGCTTTGTTTGGAATTAAACTTATCATCTAGAGATACTTTGTTAAATCACATATACAAAGAGGAGAATTTAGTGTTGATCCTGTAACTGTTCTGTTCTGAATGTCTCTTTTTTTGAGACGGAGTCTCGCTGTGTCGCCCAGGCTAGAGTGCAGTGGTACAATCTCAGCTCACTGCAACCTCCGCCTCCTGGGTTCAAGTGATTCTCCTGCCTCAGCCTCCCATGTAGCTGGGATTACAGGCCTGTGCAACCACGCTTGGCTAATTTTTGTATTTTTAGTACAAACAGGGTTTTACCATGTTGGCCAGGCTGGTCTCGAACTCCTGACCTCAGGTGATCCACCTGCCTTGGCCTCCCAAAGGGCTGGGATTACAGGTGTGTCTGAATTTCTTTGTCTGATAGTCCCTTTCTCCCATGCAGCATGGTGATAATTTCCTCTTTTTGTCAGTGTTGTAGTCTCTTAGGAAATACTGATTAAAATGCTAAGAGTTTGTGAGATCAACATGCTTTAGACTATCTGCCATCCTCCTAGTGGTACCTCTTCCTTTGTGATCAGGTGGTACTTCATGTGCCAGTCATACCTAAAAGCCGACTTGTTAAACACAGCTCTCTGGATTGACTTGGTATCGAGACATTCTATATTTAACTTGGGCCAGAAACTTGTGATGGTCATTGGTTCCGAGGCTGGGTAATACATCCTTTGTCAAAATACCTGTGTATGCTACAAACTTAAAAAGCATAGAGATCTTTGGGGTGTTTCAGGGATTTGTTTCCCATCCCTCACAATCTTCCCATGGTGGTCAACCTTAAATGAATGCTCTGAGACATTGCATCTGAGGTAAGAGCCTCTGTCCTGCCTCTTTTCAGGCACCACAGCATCTTCCCCACTCTCAGCCCATACTGCCTGGTTCTCTTGTAAGGCAGGAAGTAGCTGTTTAGGTCAGCATAGCTTTGTCCATGGTTTCCTCTGTACCCACTTCTACCTTAGAGATAACATGAAGAGAAAGGAACTTCAATTCAATGACCTGGGAATGAACTAGGTGGGGTAGGTGAGGAGGACTGCCTCCTGTTCTGCTGTTTGTAAAAACGAAAATACACAAGCAAAAAACAAAATATGAAGCAAAGCTTTTCAGAGTGAAGTATTTTGTTAAACCTATTCAAATGACTAGGCCATGGGAATTATAAATAAATACTTGACCTTTAAGTTTTTGATAGGTAAGATACCAGGAATGAGAGGTCTTTCAAATGGTTCTCTGATTCCTTTTTTTTTTTTTGAGATGGAATCTCACTTTGTCACCCAGGCTGGAGTACAGTAGCACAATCTCGGCTTATTGCAGCCTCCGCCTCCTGGGTTCAAGCAATTTCTTTTTTTTTTTTTGAGACAGAGTCTCGCTGTCGCCAGACTGGAGTGCAGTGGCATGATCTCGGCTCACTGCAACCTCCACCTCCCGGGTTCAAGCAATTCTCCTGCCTCAGCCTCCTATGTAGCTGGGATTACAGGCGGCTGCCACTACGCCCAGCTAATTTTTTATATTTTTAATAGAGACTGGGTTTCACTGTGTTGGTCAGGCTGGTCTTGAACTCCTGACCTCATGATTCACCTGCCTTGGCCTCCCAAAGTGGTGGGATTACAGGAGTGAGCCACCATGCCTGGCCGGGTTCAAGCAATTCTTGTACCTCAACCTCCCAAGTAGCTGGGATTACAGGTGTGCACTACCACGACCAACTAATTTTTATATTTTTAGTAGAGACAGGATTTCGCCTTGTTGGCCACGCTGATCTTGACTCCTAGCCTCACGTGATCTGCCTGCCTCGGCTTCCCAAAGTGCTGGGATGACACGTGTGAGCCACCGCACCTGGCCACCAGTTACTTTTTGTTAAAGGGACTTTGCTTCCTTGAATAAGTGGAATTTCTTTTTTTTGAGACAGGGTCTCACCCTGCTGCCCAAGTTGGAAGTTGGAGTGTAGTGGTGAGATCACTCCTTATCGTAGCCTCAACCTCCCAGGTTCAAGTGATCCTCCTATCTCAGCCTTGCTAGTAGGTGGGACTAGAGGTATGCATCATCATGCCCAGCTAATTAAAAAATAATATTTTTTTAGTAGAGACACCGTCTCACTGTGTTGCCCAGGCTGGTCTTGAACTCCTGGACTGGAGCAATTCTACTGCCTTGGCCTCCCAACGTGCTGGGATTATAGACATAAGCCACAGTGCCTGGCCTATAACTGGAATTTTTAATGGAAACCTTGTGGGCCTTTCAGTTACCAGTTTGCAGTGGAGCATTTGTCTCTGTCTTTTTAAAGTTATACTATAAGAGTAGGTAGAGAGACTCAAATCTGCAGTTCTCTTGACTGATTAGTATCCCTTTTTTGTGTTTTGTTTTGTTTTGTTTTTGTTTTGTTTTTTAAAGAGAGGGTCTGGCCCTGTGCCCAGGCTGGAGTGCAGTGCCACGATCTCGGCTCACTGCAATCTCCACCTCCTGAGTTAAGCGATTCTCCTGCTTCAGTCTCCTGAGTAGTTGGGATTACAGATGGGTGCCACCATGCCCAACTAATTTTTTTTTTTTTTTTTTTTTGAGGCAGAGTCTCGCTCTCTTGCCCAGGGGAGTACAGTGGCACTATCTCAGCTCACTGCAACCTCTGCCTCCTGGGTTCGGGCGATTCTCCTGCCTCCGCCTCCTGAGTAGCTCCTGGGCGCATGCCACCACGCCTGGCTAATTTTTGTATTTTTAGTAGAGACAGAGTTTCACCATGTTGGCCAGGTTGGCCTCGAACTCCTGACCTCAGGTGATCTGCCCACCTCAGCCTCCCAAAGTGTTGGGATTACTGGCGTGAGCCACCGTGCCTGACCAGGACAGGGATTTTTCTGTTGTCCAGGTTGATCTTGAACTCCTGCACTCAAGCTCTCTGCCCACCTCTGCCTCCCAAAGTGCTGAGATTACAGGTATAAGCCACTGCGCCTGGCCCTTTTTTTTTTTTTTTTTTTTTTTGTGGGTGATTCCTTTGGAATCTGGTGCTTCATTTTTTTGAGTTTTTTGTTGTTTTATTTTTTTAAGTCATAGGAGTTCAGATTCCCTTTTCCATTTGGGATTTTAAAGTTTGAGGTGGGATCTTTGTAATATGTTGGCATGGGGTTTTACAGTTAAAGAAGGAAAGACTTAGATTTTTATTTTTTGCACTCAACACACACATGAATGAATGAGACCCACAAAACTGCTGTTCCTGTCTTTCCTCGACTATTCCATATGGTCTCTAAGAAGTATATGCAGTTGACCCTTGAACAACCTGGGTTTGAACTGTGCAGGTCTGTTTATACATGGATTTAAAAAAATAAATACATTGGAAAATATTTAGGAGATTTATGACAGTTTGTAAAATCTTACAGATAAACTAGCCTTGAAATATCAAAAAAGTTAAAAAGGTATGTTATGAATGAATAAAGTATATGTGGATACTAGTCTATTTTAACATTTGCTACCATGAAATAAATACAAATCTATTATAAAAAGTTAAAACTTTATCAAAACTTATGCACACAAACCGTACATGGCACCATTCACTGTTGAGAGAAAATGTAAACAAATGTAAAGGTGCGGTATTAAATCATAACTGCATAAAATTAACTGTTACATACTGGATGTACTACTGTAATGTTTCATAGCCAACTCCCTGTTACTACTGTGGTGAGCTCAAGTGTTGCAAGTATCCGCTTAAAATGCTGTGTGACGCTAGTCATCACCACGTGAGCGTTTATCTCTCCAGCTAATTGCGTATCACAGTAAAAATTGATCTCTCATGGTTCTTGTATAGTTTTCATTGTGTTTAGTGCAATACAGTAAACCTTGAATAATACTGTAGGACCCACTAGTGCCACTAGTGTTGCTGGAAGTTCTCCTAAGAAGCAGAGAAAAGTTAGAACATCACAAGAAAAATTGCTCAGTTTGTACATAGTTTGAGGTCTGCAGCTGTGGTGGTTCACTATTTCAAGATAAGTGAATTCAGCATAAGGACTGTTGTAATAAAAGAAAAAAGGCTGGGTGTGGTGGCTCACGCCTGTAATCCCAACACTTTGGGAGGCCAAGGCGGGCGGATCACATGAGGTCGGGAGATCGAGACCAGCCTGACCAACATGGAGAAACCCCATCTTTACTAAAAATAGAAAATTAGCCGGATGTGGTGGCGCATGCCTGTAATCCCAGCTACTCAGGAGGCTGAGGCAGGAGAATTGATTGAACCCAGGAGGCAGAGGTTGTGGTGAGCCGAGATTATGCCATTGCACTGCAGCCTGGGCAACAAGAGCGAAACTCCGTCTCAAAAAAAAAAAAAAAAAAAAGAAAGAAAAGGAAAAGACATTCGTTTGTGAAGCCACTGTTTCTGCTTTCATTTATTGTGAAATACTTTTTAATCTCATAGTGAAAATGCAGCTTTTATATGGGTGCCAGATTGCTACTATAAGAAATGGATACCTTGGCCGGGTGCAGTGGCTCATGCTTGTAATCCCAGCACTTTGGGAGGCTAAGTCGGGAGGATCATTTGAGGGCAGGAGTTCAAGACCAGCCTGGGCAACATAGTGAGATCTAAAATATTTAAAAATTAGCTGGGCATGGTGATGCCTGTCTGTGGTCCTGGCTACTCATGGGGATGAAGTGAGAGGATTACTTGAGCTTAGGAGGTCAAGGCTGCAGTGAGCCATGATTGCTCCACTGCACTCCAGTCTGGGTGACAGAGCAAGATCCTGTCTCAAAAAAGAAAACAGAAAAGCAAAGCATACCTATAGATTAATATGATTTAGGAAAAAGTAAAGTCATTATATGACAACTTAAAGCAAGAGGAAAGTGAAGGAACTAGAGATGGAGAATTTAATTCCGGCAATGGATGGTTTGATAATTTTAGGACAATTTGACTTGAAAAATCGGGAGGCGTAGCTTCTACTGACCAAGAGGCAGCAGACAGGTTCCCAGACACCATGGGGAAAATCATTGAGGAGAAAGGATATCTGCCTGAACAGGTTTTTAATGAAGATGAAAGTGCCCTATTCTGGGGGAAAGAAAATGCCACAAAGGATATTTATTAGTAAGGAAGAGAAGTAAGAACCAGAATTTAAGGCAGGAAAGGGTAGGCTAACTCTCTCGTTTTGTGCAAATGCAATTGGGTTAATAATCAGGACTACCTTTACCTATAAAGCTACAGTCTTTTGGTTGTGCAGCAAGAAGGCATGCACAATGAGAACCTTTTTTTCTGGATTCATTTCATCAGTGCTTTGTCTCTGAAGTCAGGAAGTACCTTGCCAGTAAGGGACTGCCTTTAAAGCTCTTTTGATATTGGTCAATGCCCCTGGCCACCCAGAACCCCATGAGTTCAACACTGAAGGTGTCAAAGTGGTCTGCTTGCCCCTAGACACAATGTCTCTAATTCAGCCTCTAGATCAGGTGGGTCATAAGGACCTTTCACACTCATTGCACTTGGTACTCTATGCAAAGGATTTTAAGTGCTGTGGAAGAAGACACCGATAGAACATCATGAATGTCTGGAAGGATTTCTCCATTGAAGATACCATAGTTGCCCGGGTGGAGTGGCTAACGCCTATAATCCCAGCACTTTGAGAGGCCAAGGTGGGTGGATCACCTGAGGTCAGGAGTGTGAGGCCAGCCTGGCCAATGTGGCAAAACCCCGTCTCTACTAAAAATGCAAAAATTAGCCAGGCCTGGTGGCGCATGCCTATAATCCCAGCTACTTGGGAGGCTGAGGCAGGAGAATCGCTCGAACTTGGGAGGTGGAGGTTACAGTGAGCCAAAATCGCTTCACTGCATTCCAGCCTGGGCGACAGAGTGAGACTCCATCTCAAAAAAAAAGATGCCGTAGTTGTTATAGAAGAAGTTGTGGGCCAGGTGCAGTGGCTCATGCCTGTAATCCCAGCACTTTGGGAGGCCGAGGTGGGCAGATCACTTGAACCTGGAAGTTAGAGACCAGCCTGGGCAATGTGGTGAAACCACATTTCCACAAAAGATACAAAAATAAGCTGGGCATGGTCATGCATACCTCTAGTCCCAGGTACTTGGGAGGGTCAAAACTGCAGTGAGCGGGTGATCATGCCACTGCACTCCAGCCTGGGCAACAGAGTGTGACCCTGTCTCAAAAGAAAAAGTTGTGAAAGCCATCAAGCCGAAAACAATAAATTCCTGCTGAAGAAAACTGTGTCCAGAAATTATGTGTGACTTCATAGGATCTGTGACAGAGCCAATCAAGGAAATCATGAAAGAGATATGGCAAAAATAGAAGGTAAGGGGTGAAAGATTTCAAGAGAGGGATTTTAGAGAAATTCAAGAACAGCACATCAGAGGAATTAACTGAAGATGACTTGATAGAGATGAGTTCTTCTGAGCCAGTGCCAGATGACGAGGAAGAAGACATAGAAGAAACAGTGCCAGAAAACATTGATGTCAGGCAATCTGGCAGAAGGGTTCAGGTTATTTGAGACTGCTTTTGAGCTATTTTAGACTTGGACCCTTCGATGATATGGGCACTAAAACCAAAGCAAATGGTGGAAGAAGAATTGGTACCATATGGAAACATTTTTAGAGAAATGAAAAACCAAGCCTGAGTGTGGAGGCTCATGCCTGTAATCCCAGCCGTTGGGAGGCCAAGGCAGGAGGATCACTTGAGGCCAGGAGTTCAAGACCAGCCTGGGCTGATAGCTTCAGCTATGCAGGAGGCTAGGCCAGGAGGATCACTTAAACCCAGTAGTTCGAGGATGCAGCGAGCTGTGATCACACCACTGCACTCCAGCCTGGGTGATAGAGTGAGACCCTGTTTCTAAAAAATAGAAAAAGCAAAAAAAGTTAGACAAATTATAACATTTCTGTAAATTTATACTATGTGTGCCTTCCTCTCCTGCCTCCCCTTCCACCTTCTCTACCTCTGCCAACCCTGAGACACACTTCTCTTCCTCTTCCTCTTCCTCTTCAGTCTATTTGGTTTGAAGACAATGAGGATGAAGACCTTTATGATGATCCACTTTATGATCACTTTATGATGATCCACTTCCATTTAATCAATAGTAAATATATTTTCTTATTTTCTTAATAGTATTCCTTTTTCTAGCTTAATTGTAAGAATACGGTATATAATACATGTCACATACAAAACATATGTTAATCAACTGTTTATATTATTGGTAAGGTTTTCAGTCAACAGTAGGTTGTTAGTAAAGTTTTTGGGGAGTCAAAAGTTATATGTGGATTTTTTATTTTGGTGGGATTGAGGAGGATGTTGGGCCATTGGGATTGGGTTCATGCCCCCCCGACATTATTCAAGGATCAGTGTACGTACATAAGTCAGTCAGTCCTCACTTAAAGGTCATGAATAGGTTCTTAGAAACTGACTTTATGCAAAATGACGCATAACAAAACCAATTTTTTTTTTTTAAGATGAAGTTTCGCTCTTATTGCCCAGGCTGGAGTGCAATGGTATAGTCTTGGCTTACCGAAACCTCTGCCTCCTGGGTTCAAGCAATTCTCCTGCCTCAGCCTCCCGAGTAGCTGGGATTACAGGCATGCACCACGACGCTCGGCTAATTTTGTATTTTTAGTAGAGATGGGGTTTCTCCACGTTGGTCAGGCTGAAATAAAGACCAAACTTCTACATAAAGACCAAAACACAGCTGGACACAGTGGCTCACGCCTGTAATCCCAGCACTTTGGGAGGCTGAGGTGGGCAGATCACAAGGTCAAGAGATCAAGACCATTCTGGCTAACATGGTGAAACCTCGTCTCTACTAAAAATACAAAAAATTGGCCAGGCGTGGTGGCAGGCACCTGTAGTCCCAGCTACTCAGGAGGCTGAGGCAGGAGAATTGGCGTGAACCTGGGAGGCGGAGCTTGCAGTGAGCTGAGATCTCGCCACTGTACTCCAGCCTGGGTGACAGGGCTAGACTCCATCTCAAAAAAAAAAAAAAGACCAAAACACTTCTAATATTAAACAGTGAAATATATGTAAACTATACACACATGTAAGAAAGATTAATGAAAACAAATTAGATAATCATTTACCCAAGTATTCCAGCTCAGGATCACAAGTGGCCGGAGCCTATCATGGCAGTTCAGGATGCAAGGCAGAACAACTCTGGACAGGACACCATTCCATCGGGGGGTGTATACCCACACACCCACACTCACTCAGACTGACACAGCTTAGCATGCCATTTCACCTTACACACACATCTCTGGGATATGGAAGGAAACCAGCATACCCAGGGAAAACCCATGCAGATGTGCCAGCTCCACACAGACAGTTGTCCTGGCCGGAAATCAATTTTTTTTTCTTATCAACATTATAAGGGAACAAGCATGGTGCCTCACACCTGTAATCCCAGCACTTTGGGAGGCCGAGGCAGGTGGATCACTTGAGGTCAGGAGTTCGAGACCAGCCTGACCAATGTGACGAAACCCCGTCTCTACTAAAAATACAAAAATTAGCCAGGCGTGGTGGCAGGTGCCTGTAATCCCAGCTACTCAGGAGTCTGAGGCAGGAGAATCACTTGAACCCAGGAAGTGGAGGTTGCAGTGAGCCAAGATCACGCCAGTGCATTCCAGCCTAGGTGACAGAGCAAGATCCTGTCTTTAAAAAAAAAAAAAAAAGTTATAAGGAAACAACACTGAACAAAATGTTATTCAAAGACCTGCTTATATGTGTACACACACACACACAGTCATACACTGTTTAGCAACATTTTGGTCAATGATAGACTACATATATGACGGTAGTTCTATAAGATTATATTACTGTATTTTTACTGTACTTTTTCTATGTTTAAATATGTTTAGATACATATTTAGATACATATTTAAACATAAATATGTTTAAGTATTCATATACTTACCATTGTGTTAGAGTTGCCTCCAGTATTCAGCACAGTAACATGCTATTCAGGTCTGTAGCCTAGGAGCAATAGGCTCTACCACATAGCCTAGATGTGTAGTAGGCTACACCATCTAGGTTTGGATAAGTCCACTCTGATGTTCGCCTAATGATGCATTTCTCTGAACATATTCCTCTCATTAAGTAATGCACGACTGTACCTATACTTAATATACATAATAAGTACATATATAGAGAGAGAGGAAGTCTCTGATTTAAAGATTAATGTTCATACTTGATGAAAAATTTCATATCTTTTTTTCTGATTTGAAATTATTAAAGGTTGAGTATCCCTAAACTGAAATCCAAAATGCTTAAAAGTCTGAAACTTTTTGCACACTGACATGATGCTCAAAGGAAATGCTCATTGGAGCACTTTGGATTTCAGAGTTTTGGATTAGGGATGTTCAATGGGTAAGTATAATGCAAATATTCCAAAATCTGAAAAAAATCCAAAATCTGAAACACTTCTGGTCTCAAGCATTTCGGATAAGGAGTACTTAACTTGTATTTACTTAACAAAAACTTTGTAAGATCTAATTTATGTCTTACAAAAGGCAACATCTTTTTACAGTTAACTGTGAGATAAGCAGGAACAGGTAGCTTCAGAGACTTTTGAGCCAGCTTGCCCCCAAACTGCCCTCCCAAAAGTGAGAATCATTGTTAAAATATTCAAACCAGCCTCTCCTATCTTCTAAAGTAAGTTTTAAAATTTTTACTTCTTAATTTTCCATGGCAGGAACCTTCAGCCTGTGGTGTCATCCTAAGTTTGAGGACCGCTGTCAATCTGTTGTAGAGTTTATTAAGAGAGCCATTATGCACTCCAAGAATGGAAAGTTTCTCTATTTCTTAAGATCCAGGGTTCCAGGTAAGGCTGTACTTCTGTTAATTATTTAACTTAACTTCGGTATGATCCAGTTTAGTATCAAAAAACACCACCCCCACAAAAGGCCATGGTTAAGCTTCTTTCCCCTGGCTGTTGTAGCCACCACTCCTGGTCCTGTGGTTAATCCCCTGCCTTTGTACGTTAATCTCTCAGCATACTGAGGAAGAATCTTTGCTTCTCTGACCACGTGAATGAGAAAACTGCTTCCACCTCTGATGTCCAGGCATCATGTGAACATTTGACATTTGGAGGTGTCCCTGATCTAGGCATGTCAACATTTATAAGTGAAGGAGAAAGGTGAGAACTCTCAGGTCCTACCCATAGGAATGGGAAAGGTAAGAGAATGTTTACCAGAAAGGCAGGGCGAGTGTCAGGAGGGCTCAGTCTGGCTAGGCGTGGTGGCTCATGCCTGTAATCCTAGCACTTTGAGAGGCCAAGGTGGGAGGATTGCTTGAGCCCAGGAATTTGAGACCCCCATCTCTTTAAAAAATTAGCCAGACATAGTGGTACATGCCGGTAGTTCCAGCTAGTTAGGAGGCTGAGATGGGAGGATCACTTGAGCCCAGGAGGTCAAGGCTGCACTGAGCCGTGATAGTGCCACTGCACTCTAGTCTGGGTGATAGAACAAAACCCTGTCTCCCCCCAAAAAAGAAAAAACAAGGGCCAAATCCAATTGCACATTGCACTCTGTTAGGAAGTATCTGCTGTGGGTTTGCCCATGTTGTACTAAACTTGCTGCTGAACAGTAAATTATTTGTTTTGTATCTTGCCGTCCCTACCATTGATGAATACAAGACCTCTCTCCATTTGGGAGCACTGGGCAGTTGCTATTCTGGCTGGTGTGATTGTATAGTCTTTCTGCCCACTAAGTTAGGGAGGTGTCTGTATAGTTTGTGGAGGGCAAGAGGGGATTCTTTGGAGCAATCGGCCTTTATAGTGTTGGTAAGACAAAACGACAAGGACATTAATATGAGGAACTTGTAAGACACAAACAACTTAAGCCAGGCATGGTGGCTCACACTATAATAATCCCAGTACTTTGGGAGGCTGAGACGGGCAGATTGCTCAAGTCCAGGAGTTCAAGACCAGGCTGGGCAACATGGTGAAACCATATCTCTACAAAATATACAAAAGTTAGCTGGGTGTGATGCCGGGCATCTGTAGTCCCAGCTACTTGGGAGGCTGAGGTGGGAGGATCACTTGAGCCTGGGAGGCAGAGGCTCCAATGAGCCAAGATTAAGCCACAGCACTCCAGCCTGGGTGACACAGTGAGACCCTGTCTCAAAAAAAAAGGCATGGGGTGGTAGCTCACACCTGTAATCCCAGCACTTTGGGAGGCTGAGGAGGGCAGATCACCTGAGGTCAGGAGTTCGAGACAGCCTGGCCAACATGGTGAAACCCCGTTTCTACTAAAAATACAAAAATTAGCCAGGCGTGGTGGCGGGTGCCTGTAATCCCAGCTACTCGGGAGGCTGAAGAGGGAGAATTGCTTGAACCTGGGAAAGCGGAGGTTGCCGTGAGCTGAGATTGCGCCATTGCACTCCAGCCTGGGTGACAGAGCCCAGACTCTTCCCAAAAAAAAAACAAAAACAAAACAAAAAAATAAACAATTTAAAATGAGAACTTCATGCTTTACCATTGAATGAAATTAAGATTCTTAAACAGAATGCCAAGAAATTGGTCTAAACTGTAGGAGCTCAGGGGAGCCTCAGGCAGAAGACTAGGAACAGGATTGAGCCAGGTGACAGGAATGTTTCTTGTAATCTTGGTGATTTAAATAAGGCATGACAGGGTGTGAACTGTATTAATTCTCACTTCATTTAGTTTTGCCTCAGTGCTGTCAACACAGTTGGGTCTTGTGCAGTTGACTTGCTTAAAGGGAAAAGTTAGATTCCTTCCATATAGGAGTTGACTCTGCTTAGCAGTTTTTAAAGTTTTTGGCTTTTTGGGGGGTTTTTATTTAACAAACATTTATTTTGCAATTTATTATTAAAAAAAAAAAGCTACATTTCTGCCTTCAGAGAAGTCATAGTCTCAAAGAGGGGACAGGAAGGAAGACAAAGGTGAGAGCACATGTTCAAGTCAGTATAAAGCATGTGGCGGTGACCAGCAAAATTAGGGTAGTCAGCTCTGCCTGTGGGCAAGTCTGGAAAATCTCAGAGAGTATTCTGGACTCTGGAGCATCACTCTACTGGTAGAATATTGAGAAACTTCGTGGAATATTGGACTCCTCAGATACAGCTTATTTCATTCTACAAATGTACCCTGTCTGCAGATATTTTAACCAAGATTCTTAGCATTGTATTAAGGGCTAGAGTGTATAGTGTTTGCCACTGTTAATATTGAGTGCCTGTTAGATGCCAGGTACTGGCCAGGTTCTTTATTTAAAGATATTGACATTTTTACAACAACCTCAAAGTTAGGTAATACAGATCAATCTATTAAAATAATATGGCCTGGCGCGGTGGCTCACGCCTGTAATCCCAGCACTTTGGGAGTCCGAGGTGGGTGGATCACCTCAGGTCAGGAGTTCGAGACCAGCCTGACCAACACGGTGAAACCTTGCCTCTACTAAAAATACAAAATTATCTGGGCGTGGTGGCGCACGCCTGTAATCCTAGCTACTCCAGCGGCTGAGGCAGGAGAATCGCTTAAAACCCAGGAGGCTGAGGTTGCAGTGAGCTGAGATTGTGCTACTACACTCTAGCCTGGGCCCCCAAGCAAGACTCTGTCTAAAAATAATAATAATAATAATAATGTGTCCAACATGGTGAAACCTCACCTCTACTAAAAATACAAAAATTAGCCAGGCGTGGTGGCGGGTGCCTGTAGTCCCAGCTACTTAGCAGGCTGAAGCAGGAGAATCACTTGAACCTAGGAGGTGGAGGTTGCAGTGAGCCACGATTGCGCCATTGCATTTCAGCCTGGGCAACAGAGGGAGACTCTGTCTCCAAAAAAATAAAATAAAATAAATTTAAAAATAAAATAATACATAAGACTTCATTTTGCCAGTGAGGAAACTGAGGCTGAGGCTCAAAAGTTAGATTATGTACTCTAAAGTTAACTCAGTTGATCAGTGCTGAAGCCAAAATTCAAACCTGGGCCCGACTACAAATCCTTGGCTTTATTTCCCACCAGTCTGTTATTGGAAGAGGTAGTAGTAATCAGATTGAAAGTTTGCTGGCATTTATGGAAACTACCTGAAGAAGGTAGAACCATGTTTATTGGGGGCAGGAGGGTGCAAATGCTCCAGTTAAAGATCTGTGTAGACTTAAAATTGTAATCAAGTTGAGAGGGCAAAGCAGAGTTGTTGCCTCTCAACCCTAAGTGACCTCACTTTGGAGGATAGGGCCAAAGAAGACAAAGCCTTTACCACTGTTTGCTGCCCTCTTTTGCTTATCATAAAGGGGAAGGCATTATATAAGCTTGACTTTATTAGAGGAGAGGATTGGGGTGAGGAAGGAGGTAGGTATTAGCATTTAGGTTGAGCTCTGTTAGTCTGCGTCAAGGATTTTAACTTGATCGATTCAGAAAGGATCCTGTGTGTTCAAACTTTGGAATGATGAAAACTGAACACCTACAAGGAGCCAGGTGTTATTCCATTTAACCAAGTGTTATCCTTTGAGAGGACAGTACAGTCTCCTTTTTTTTTTTTTCTTTTTGGAAAAGCAAAAGAAACTGAGGTCCAGTGAGTTGCAGAGCTAGGATGCGATCTCAGGCTTTTCTGGCTCAGTTCCCAGAGCTGGATGTAGTAGGAAGGTGTTGAGACTGGTGTCAGGCTGGGCATGGTGCCTCATGCGTGTAATCCCAACACTTTGGGAGGCCAAGGTGGGCAGATCGCCTGAGCTCAGGAGTTCAAGACCACCCTGGGCAATATGGTGAAATCCCATCTCTACTAAAATACAAAAAATTAGCTGGGCATGGTGGCACACACCTGTAGTCCTAGCTACTTGGGAGGCTGAGACATGAGAATTGCTTGAGCCCCGGAATTGGAGGTTGCAGTGAGCCAAGATCATGCCACTGCACTCCATCTTGGGCTACGGAGTGAGACTCCATTTCAAAAAAAAAAAAAAGACTGGTGTCAAAGGGATACCAGGGATCACAGGAGTTGCAAAGCTAGGACTAATGGGAAGGTTCTGAGTGGTGACAAATAAGGAACAGAGATAAATTAAGTAGAATAGAATAAATTGAATAATTAGCATCTGGGGGAGGAACCCTTGGTAAAATAATGGTGCCTGAGTTTGGTTTGACCTTATCCCTTCTCATTGTTGTTGTTGTTTTTTTTTTTAAAATGTAAATATATATATAATTTTTTTTAAATTTGAAGTTTGGGGTTATTGTAATACTGAATCCTGGTCCCAGCAGATCTGAGGTCACTGATTACATCTCAGTCTGGCCTCATCCATTTCACAATTATAAACTAAACCCCCGCTGGGCGCAGTGGCTCACACCTGTAGTCCCAGCACTTTGGGAGGCCGAGGTGGCTGGATCACGAGGTCAGGAGTTTGAGACCAGCCTGGCCAATATGGTGAAACCCCGTGTCTACTAAAAATACAAAAGTTAGCTGGGCGTGGTGGCAGGCGCCTGTAATCCCAGCTACTCAGGAGGCTAAGGCCAGGAGAATTGCTTGAACCTGGGAGGTGGAGGTTGCAGTGAGCCAAGTCACGCCGCTGCACTCCAGAGACTGTCTCAAAACAAAAACAAAAACAAAAAAAACTAAACCCCTAACACCAGAGAGCAGTGAGAGTGTGACTGATTTCACACAAAACCTCTGATCCTATTAGAGCCAGGCTAAAAGCAAACATACCCTTTTTAATTGAGAGAATCTTCATCTGTAAAGTTCATGAACAAAAAATGTCTTTAAAAAATCATACTTTGATCAGACTTGGTGTCTCACATCTGTAATCCCAGCACTTTGGGAGGTAGAGGTAGAAGGATTGTTTGAGCCCAGGAGTTCTAGACTAGCCTGGATAATAAAGAGA